CCGACAATTTCCCCCAACTTTCCTTCACTGGCTGTTACTTCATTGGCTTCTTCTTCAGGCATTTTAGGATTCAGTCCCGTGGAACCTTCTGGCTCCGTTGCACTAAGTTTATGGGGGCATCAGCTCTGGGTTGCGGCTTTGTGACCAGTGCTCACTAGACCTCCCATGGTCTGTGGTCAGGTCCATTTCTAAGGGCACACAGCATGGTGCATGAAATTGCAGCTGTGTGGCACGCATTGAGGAGGATTTGTCTTTCTCTAGGCTCTATTCACCAACCCCACTCCAACTTCTTCCCAGTGATTCGTTGCCTGAACCAAGGGGAGGGGGGTGGGGGTGATTGGGTCTCTTTGGTCCTACCCCCTGTAGTGCTGGACAATGCATGTGGGTCATCTTCTAGATTCTTAGGCTTTAACTCTCTGTGTGGTCCACATGTGTTAGGTCGTCAGACATCGTTATTCCCAAATCCTTTACATGTTGCTTTCTTACTATGGGCAGATTTGATTGTTTTGTACCCTGTATTATGTTTAACCCCTCAACTGCTTGGCTTCCAAATATGACACTCCCCCAGTGTGCATGATATAAATTCTCTGGAATTTTTTTTTTTTTATTTGAAAGTGTCAAAAACCTTCCCTGAGTATGGGTATAGTAACAGAAGGTCAAAATTGTACGTACTTTGGCTGCTATGGGGTCCATAAGTTAGCGCATGACGTCATCATTCCCTGGTCGCCTGTGGTGTACGCCCCTGGGGCCGGAAGGGCGCCCAGGAAAGGATGCGCGAGTTGCCGCGAATACATTTTTGTTTATTTCTTGCACACAGTTTCAAATACATTTTACTTGTTTTTTTCGTGCCAATCCTATGTATAATGAACACGTACACTGTATTATGGCAGTAGAACATCCGTACTGTCCAAAGACACTGTGTTATGTGCATGACACATATGTAAACATATGTAAACATATTTCCCATACATCATGCTAATTTATGTATATATACAATCTATTTACATACTATACACTATCACACACTATATACATTCACCATCAACACACTCAGAACTCCACGAGTATCAGCTGCCACACCCTCACTCCTCCAATATCCAGTGTCTCCCTCACTCCTCCAACATCTTACTCGCCAACATCACCCACCTCCCACCATACTGTTATTGTTTTATTACACTAAACATGTTATGTATACCTATCTACATGTTTTATTCCCCAGAACTATGCAAGTAAGCTGGTATTGTGTCCTAACTTTACAGTGGCCACCAAACACTGCATGAGAAATCACAGCAGCCAGCAGATGACGCTACGATTACGTCAGCTCCCTCACCAAAATAGCTCCTCCCAACATACTCCTGTTGCTGTTATTACACTATATACACACATTGTATATACCCATGTACAAATGTGTTCACCATAGTGAACCACTAAGCTAGTATGGTGAGCAAAACAAGAGTGGCTGCCACACACACACAGTGAGGCTACCTCAATTCTCTCCCTCCCTTCCTCACCACAATTCCTCCTCCCACAATACTACACACATGTACATGGGTATATACACACATTGTATATACCTGTGTACATATGTGTTCACCATAGTGAACCACTAAGCTAGTATGATAAGCAAAACAAGAGTGGCTGTCACATACAGTGAGGCTACCTCCATTCTCTCCCTCCCTCCCTCACCATAATTCCAACTCCCACAGTACTACGCACACATGTATATGAGTATACACACATTGTATATACCCATATACATATGTGTTCACCATAGTGAACCACTAAGCTAGTATTATGAGCAAAACAAGAGTGGCTGCCACATACACACAGTGATACTACCTGGATTCTCTCCGTCTCTCACCACAATTCCTCCTTCCACAATACTATGCACAGTGCTTATTATCACCACAATCCTGCTGTTATCACAATACTGGTCACTAAATCCTGTAAATGAATAATTGACCACAAGTTTATTTTGTAAAGGAACCTAGGAAGTCGTTTGAAGATTCCTAGATGGACGAAATAATGCTGTGGTGCTGAGGCTAGCACTGTGAACATCATGAACAGCATTGAATCACTGATATTTGAACATTGTATACAGTCATTATCACACTCAGGCTCTTCTGTAATACACGGGAGTTTTGAATGGAACATGAAAAATACAAATACCCGGAGGCGCATTGCGCAAACCAGATGAGGGCCTGCAGGTGCGTTGCGCAGTTTAAGGGTTAAGATTCTCATTTTTTCGGTACTTGAGTACCTGGAATTTATCACTGTTAAACATCATGTTATTTTCTGTTGCCCAGTCAAAAACTTTATTAATATCTGTTTGTAGTTTTTCAATGTCTTCAGCAGAGGTAATTTTCATGCTGATTTTTGTGTCATCTGGAAAGGATGATATAAAGCTGTGCCTTGTATTTGAGCTTATATCTGATATGGGAATAAGGAAAAGCAGTGGTGCAAGGACTATACCCTGAGGTACAGAGCTTTTAACTGCACTTGGACTCAATTTTATATGATTGCTGTTACTCTTTGTGTTCTGTTCGACAAAAAAACTGAGTATCCAGCATCTTACTTGACCAGCTATTCCCAATGACCTCAATTTTGTGTGCTATCACTCCATGGTCACATTTATCGAATGCCTTTGCAAAATCCATGTATACCATATCTGCATTCTGTTTTTATTCTAATGCCTCAGTGATTTTGTCGTAGTGATCAAGTAGCCGTGAGAGGCATGATCTTCCTGCTCTAAATCCATGTTGGCTTGGATTATAGAGGTCATTGGTTTCCATGAAACTAGTGACCTGACTCCTGATCACTCTCTCAAATACTTTTATTATGTGGGACATTAGTACAACTGGTCTATAATTCTTTGCCAATGCTCTGCTCCCTCCCTTATGTAGAGATGGCATGATAAACCTCTACACCTCTGCGCCAATCTACACGTCACCACTATGGAGTGGCTTGGTGCTCGTTCCGCCTATTTCTGTCTCTCCGTCCTTTTTCTTCAGTTTTGTTATTGCTTTCATGGTTGCTTCTTGATCTGCATCTTATGACTAATACTGCCACCTCTTATAATTTGGCAGAGTCACTGTGACTTTCATTTGACATCGATACTGCTGCAGTTCCATTCCACAAATTGTCTGAAGCATTTTTTCATCCCTGGACTGCTCATGCTCTGCCTGAGCCATCGTAGTTGCTCAACAGTCCTAGATTTTCTCTCCTCCCCGTAAGTTCATGTCTGCCCCAGACTGATTCCTTCAGAAAGAAATCAGTCTGGGATTCCTTTCTTAAGCAGGTATTTTGTTTGATCTTGCATCCAGCTGTCTGGTTGGTGATCTTCATGCTCTTGCCGGGCTTCTGCTTCTTTGGCTCTGGTTGGCATTTTCTTCACTTGCAACCATCTCCTTTTTGTTTGGTAAAGAATGAGTCAATGAGCTTTCAGAGGGGTCCCTTGGTTATTGATGCTTGATTGATTCGGCCAGGGGTGAATCATTTGTTTTATCCCATGGCAGCAGTTCATCGGTGCTTGCAAGCCACCAACTCCACTTACAGGACTAACTCACCTACTTAGGTGAGTGAGTCCTGTCTCCTTGGTTTCCCTGTTCCATGGCTCATGTATCTCAGGTTGTCTGCAGTGTTATTTAGTTTAGCCAGCCTGTGATCTACTCCCAAGCTTATGATGTTTGCAAATATATTGCTCTTACATCAGTCTTTTCTAATATGTATTGTGGCAATATTCGAGCTCAGGAGTTCTGGTGGTCAAACAGGTTCATGGCAGCCGGGTATTTAGTCAATGTACCTGCTCCTCATCAGTCCTGTGTTGTCTGGGCAGTGTTTCCTGCCCAATGGTGTCTCTTTGCCACCTGCCAAGTATCTGCCACCCCTCTCTTTCTCTGGTAATTACCTCTGTGGCCATAAGCAACAAGGAGCCACAAAGAGGCTTCCCCAGAAACCTAGCATTAAATGTAATGAAATGCCTCTTTCTGGTAGAGCTTCAGTGACTCCTTGTTTAGGAGTGTTGGAAAAGGTGATGATGTGTAAGGTACCCAACAGAGGTTTTCAAAGCTTATTTACAAAAGATGTAGATTTTAATGCACTCAATTTTAGTTTACTATAATGGTGATAGACATCATAGACCTATCCAGTGAAATGATAGGTCATTTCTATCATAGGTCATAGGCTATCCAGCTCTTCTGGTATTATTTATTCTACTAAATAAATAAAATATATTTATTCATTTGTTTATTTATGAGTCAACTATTTATTCTACCACTCTACTATTCTACAACTATTCTACCACTTCTACTATTCTACAACTATTTGGTCCCATAATAAAGTTATGGGACCAAATAAAATATCACCATAGATCCTGGCATTGTCTATGCCAGGAGGAGTTTAGTTATCTAGTCTTGTTTATCTTTACAGTATCACTTGAAGTGGGAAAGCTAGATGAACAGTGAAATAAAGAGACAGGGGAGGACAACTGAACCACAGTATAGCCTTACATATGTCATACTGTGGTGGAAAGCCCTAGAGAAAGCCACAAGTACAAAATGAGTACATCACTTAGAGAGGCAGTTACTGAGTAACAATTAATTAAGGTTCAGAAAAAGTAATTCTGTGTAAGCCACCTGATAATCTTTTATCATAGGCACACTAAATTCTTACATGAAAAAGAGAAAGGCAGATTAAGTATACCTAGACATAATAGAAAGCCTTTGACAGTCTCCTACAGAAGGTTAAGTTAAAACAGAAATTGGAACACAAGGGAGGTATATAAGGAATATTACTACAATGGATGAGTGTTTGTGTTTGTAACTAGAGGATACATATTAATGCAAAGAGAGGTCATTTGTTAAGTTACAAATGTATCAGTACTGGCCATAATAATGTGTTTAGCACAGTGCTGCACTAGATGCATAAACAGCACTGGCTTTAACTTTCATATACAGTACATTAATAATTGAGTCAATCTTAACATTTATATTTTTTCTCACCCATGACTTTGAGAGAATATATATCATCCACAGAAAGATTGAGGGAGATGAGAAAATGCAGCGCTTCACATTCCAACTCTGCCTTATCAAGGTCTGCATTCATCTTGGCTGGAAAAAAAATATTTCATAATATTTCTTGAGAAAATGCATCACTGAAATTGGAGTAGCATTTCTGGCAATTAGAATTGGAAAATTAATGAAGCAAATAACATAAAAAACCAGCGTTAAATGTAATGAAACGGCATTTTCTGGGAAGCCCCAGAGACTCCTTGAAGCTATTCGAACTGATATATGCTATATTAATTTGGGATCATCAGTCACAGGAGTTCTTATGCCTACTGGGAAACACAAGCCAGAACTTGGCCCCCCTTCAGAGAGGCGCAGGGAGCAATGGCCTACGGGCACTTTACACTTAAAGTATGTAATAATTGCCATCGACCGAGGAAGCACCCAGAAAAGTAGTTGAAACAAAACAGACCACAATCTGGTGAAAACTGCAACCTACTTCCACACAAAGCAGAAGAATTCCCCCAGAAAGAAAACAAACACGCAACACTTCATTCAACTAGCACCTCATGCTCGGTAGCACTAACCCCTCCACCTTACTGGGCAGGGAGGGGGAAAAGATGGCCCCACTAGGATGACTTTCTAGTGGAAAGAGGCTTTCTAGAGGCTCGCCAGTGAGCCTCCGAGTCTTATCCAGAAAATGGTACTGTATTTCATTACATTCAACGCTGGTTTTTTATTTGTATGCGGGTAGTTAGCTTCAGGGAATCAATGAGGCTCCCACAGAAAACCAGGGTTGAATGTAGTAAAAAGCAATTTTCTAGACAAGCCCCAGGAGCTCCCTGACACCCGCTCTCCCACCGGTCTTCATCTTTCAAGAACTGGAGTGTTGGGCTGCCGGCTCCCCCTTCCTCTTTTCAGGAGGGGGGTTTACGCTAGAGCGAGAGTACTAGTTGAGTGCAGGGTTGCTAGTTTCTTTGCTCTTTGTGGTTGTAAATCACAATTTTACCAGCTAGTTGTTTGTCTTGGTTCGCCTATCTTTCTGAGTGCCCACCCCGGTCGATGGCAGAATATGACATACTTTAACCCTTTAACTGCGCGGCCTATAAATATGACACCTTCCCCCCCCAGTGCGCAAAAAATAAATTCTCGGGAAAAAATTCTTTTTAGTTCTGAAAGTGTCAAAAACCCCTCCCTGTATATGGGTATAGCAACGGAATTTCGAAATTGTACTTACTTTGGCTGCTATGGGGTCCATAAGGTGGTGTGTAACGTCATCATTCACTGTGCGCCAGTGCAGTAAGCTCCCGGGGCCGGTGGGGCGCCCGGGGCGGGGCGCGCGAGTTGCCGCGAATATATTTTTGTTAATTTTTTGCGCGCAGTTCCAAATACAGGCATACCTCAGAATAAGAGTTTAATCCGTTCCTGGAGACGCCTCGCCTTCCGAAAACTCGCATTCCGAAGTTAATTTCCCCATAAGAAATAAAGGGAAATGAATTAATCCGTTCCTGACTACCCCAAAAACCCCACATCAAACTAAATTTTTATACCTAATTCATCTAAATAAACCTACAAAACTGTGTTCCAGTTATTACTTACCTTGCTGTCGAGTGCTGTAGGCGTATGGAAGATGGTGAGGAGGGGGGAGGAGGAGAGGAGTTACTGTTTGGAAGGGGAGTCCCCTTCCATAATCACATCACATAACCCCATGCCTTGTAACACTATGGATACCACTTCTCTTTCTAAATTTTTCAAACCAGCCCCTGCTTGCCTTAAACTCTTTCTTATCTGCATCACTTGTTGCAGGGGTATTCTTTAGAAGGTCTTCGTGCAACACCCTGGCTTTCTCACAAATAATGGCCTCCGAAACACTATCACCCCTCAACTCCTTGTCGTGTATCCAAATTAATAACAACTTTTCCACTTCTTCAAGTATTTGTGGTCTTTGTGCCGTTAATGTTCTTACTCCTTTTGCCACTTTAGCACCCATAATCTTATTTTTCTTCTTAAGTATAGTGCATATTGTTGATGTGGCTTTGTTGTACTGCCTACAAAGTTCAACAACACGTGTACCGTTCTCATGCTTCCGAATGATCTCTTGTTTCTCCTCTATTGTCATCCTCACATGAGCTTTCTGGCCTTTATCCTTACCACTGGCTTTCTTGGGACCCATGGTGAGATATATAATAACAAATCACCAAAAATCCAACAAAACACTGAAAATCCGCGAGAAGAATTGATGTGGGGGTAGTCACTGAGCGCGAGACAATAATAAACTGAGGGGCGGCGGGGCGGAGGGGCGACGAACGCGCTAGGTCGGCTGTACGCGTATCAACAAACTCGCATCCAAACTCGCCTCCCGAAGTAACCATCGCCTTCCGAGACAAATTTTTGGAGTAAATACACCTCGCCTTCCGAAAACTTCGCATACAGGGACAATCGCATTCCGAGGTACCACTGTACATTTTATTTGTTTTTATGCGCTAATCGTATGTATAATAAACACGTACACTATATTATGGCAGTAAAACATCCGTACTGTCTAAGGACACTGTGTTACGTGCATGACACTTGTGTACACACATGTTGCACATATTTACCATGTATCATGCTAATTTATGTATATATACAATCTATTTACAGACTATACACTGTCACACACTATATACATTCACCATCTACACATTCAGAACACCGCGAGTGAGAGCTGCCACACCCAGCCAGCCCTCACTCACTTCTCCAACATTGTATTTGCCAACTTTGCCCCTCCCATCATACAGTTATTCACACCAATGTTTCATGTTCATTTATGTATATTTACAACATATGTACACACTATACACTGTCACACACTATATACATTTACCATCAACACATTCAGAACATCGCGTAGCAGCTGCCTCGTATGGGCCAATAGCAGCTGCCTCGTATGGGCCAATAGCAGCTGCCTCGTATGGGCCAATAGCAGCTGCCTCGTATGGGCCAATAGCAGCTGCCTCGTATGGGCCAATAGCAGCTGCCTCGTATGGGCCAATAGCAGCTGCCTCGTATGGGCCAATAGCAGCTGCCTCGTATGGGCCAATAGCAGCTGCCTCGTATGGGCCAATAGGCCTTCTGCAGTTACCTTTGTTCTTATGTTCTTAGCTCCTCTCAACATACTCCTGTTGCTGTTATTACACTATATACATACACACACTGTATATACCCATGTACATGTGTGTTCCCCATAGCGAACCACGAAGCTAGTATGGTGAGCAAAACAAGAGTGGCTGCCACACAATGAGGGGTACCTCAATTCTCTCCCTTCCTCACCACAATTCCTCCTTCCACAATACTACGCTCAATGCTAATTATAATCACAATCCTGATCACAAATTCCTGTAAATGAATACTGTAGTTGACCACAAGTTTATTTTGAAAAGGAACCTAAAAAGTTGTTTGAAGATTCCTAGATGGACGAAATAATGCTGTGGTGCTGTGGCTAGCACTGTGAACATCGTGAACAGCATTGAATCACTGATATTTGAACATTGTACCCAGTCATTGTCACACTCAGGCTCTTCTATACTACTATCATGGCCAAATAATACAAGTTATATATATATATTATGACATTATTAGGCGATGCTGTGGTCACACGCTGAACAGCAGTGCTGTGCGCTCATGCTGCGAGTGCCAGCCTTGGTTGCTCACTCACTACAGAGGCTCCCACACCTGAGAATGTGGACCACGATTTTTTTTAAAGATGGTGTCTGTTTACATGAGCCCTGAGGAAGCTGATGTGAACCCCATGTAGCCGCGGGAGTTTTGAATGGAACGTGAAAAATACAAATACCCGGAGGCGCGTTGCGCACCTGAAGCCTGGGCCTGCAGGCGCGTTGCGCAGTTAAAGGGTTAAATGTACAGTGCTCATATGCCTTTGTTCCCTGCACCTCTCTGAGGGGGGCCAGGTTCTGGCTCGTCGTCTCCGGTAGGCATAAGAACTCCTGTGACTGATGACCCAAACTAATAAAGCACTATATCAGTTTGGATAGCTTCAGGGAACTGACGTTGCTCCCCAAGAAAATCTCTGGCCATCCCAGGCAAATCCAAGTGAAAACAAGCAAGGTGGTAATTTAGACAATAGCCACACTTCAAGTGTTGAGCACATAAGCTTGAAACTTAGCAGTCATGATGTAACGAAGCTGCCAAGACAACAATAAACAAGATCAAAGCCACCACACACTAGCCTGAACACAATTGAGGGTGGTATTTATCTTAAACCCAATAAAGAAAATACTGGAGGCAGAAGGAGTGTTTATTGAGTTATAGCACTGCATATAACACCCCATCTGACTGGACAAAGCAGGGATTTGCCTGTCTCTGACCTGGGTCACCGTGGTTCACAACAGTGGGTGATGCACAACTGGTTGTACCCAGTAACAGGTTACAAGACTCAGCTTGCCATGACAGGTATAGGCAAGTTCTTGGGAGGGTGAGGGGCCAAGGCTAAAATTGTTACCTGGTTGATGGGGTTCTGGGAGTTCTTCTACACCCCAAGCCCAGCCCGAGGCCAGGCTTGACTTGTGAGAGTTTGGTCCACCAGGCTGTTGCTTGGAGCGGCCCACAGGCCCACATACCCACCACAGCCCGGTTGGTCCGGAACGTCTTTTAGAAAACAGTCTAGTTTTCTCTTGAAGATGTCCACGGTTGTTCCGGCAATATTTCTTATAGTTGCTGGGAGGACGTTGAACAGCCGCGGACCTATGTCTATAGAGTGTTCTCTGATTGTTAACCGACTCTGAACCATGTCTAACTCAAAGAGAAAGAAGGGTGGGGGAAACGTGTGTCCAACAAATACAAACACAGCCATGAAGAACTTAGGAAAGGCCAAACCTAGGGATAGTGAGAAAGGGAAAGGTAGAGGGTTACACAAAGAGCTTGCCTCTACACACAACTCAGTGTCCATGGGGTAATTCCCAGCACAAATGCCAAAGGGAACCAGACAATAGTTGTATGTTGTATGTTGAGGTAGCCTAGTAGTGAGAACCTCAAGAGGAAGAACTCACAGTTGCAGCACAACCTGAACTGGAACATAAAATGTAACTGGACAATCGACTAGTTAAGTCACGAGACACAAAATAAGCTTGTAATAAACATACAAGAAGTGCTTCAAGGATTCATACTACCATAATAAGCACAAAACATGAGCACATTGAACATGAAACTAAGGTTTCTCATAATGAAAACATTGTACTTTACTGAATTCAGTCTCAAGCCTTTCCCAAATCATCATGAGGATGAATCTGGAGTAATATGATGAGGTGGGGTGATGGTGGCAGGTGGGAGCAGCAGCTAGGTGGGAAACCGGCAATGTGAGGTAAGAGTGCTATTTGATGGTCCCTGTGATGCAAGAAGGGTCTGGAAAGGATTTTTAAGTATTTGTAGGTGAACTTTTGTGATCACTACTCTGGGCTAAATTGAGCTTTTCCCCCGGTGACTTCCTAACACCATCAAAACCTAATGAGTGTAATTGAAAAAATCCAAATATGTGCTGGTGCAGAATATCCTTCTTTCCTGACTATCAAGATCCTGAATTCAATGATTTTGCCTTGGAGATCATCTAAGTAGAATAGTTCAGAAAAAGATTCAATCATTAAATAATAATAGTAATTATAAGCTTTTTATAGAAAAATACAATTACATATAAACTTCAAATCTTCATTATACAAGACAAGTCCCTGTATAAACCTGAAGAACAATGAAGTGGAAATACAGCTGAATGGTGGCTTAGAATATGTTTAACCTTTGTTAATGTCTAGATTAAAAAATTAAGGGGAGAAAACACTTCATATAAATACTTAACTAAATCCAGATACTAACTCTGCGGCTTAGCAGCCATAGCTATTAGGCGAGCAGCTCGGGATACTGGGGACGTTACGGGGTTGAGAGGTGGCCCAGCACTTCCCTCCTCACTATTATATAGCACCTTATTCTCCAGCCAGCCAATTCTAAAGAAAAAAAGTAAAGGGCACTCCAAAATTTGGAATATATTAGAAAATACAGTGCATCACTATATACCAATTCTTGAAAACCCCATCCAACACTTTAATAATACTGTACTGTACAAATAAAAAATTAACGAAAATTTTTGTATTATATGGGAAAACGACATTCATGTAACAAAAAATCAACATTGATAACATTGATCCTACATAGATTTAACATTATTCAAATAAATTTTGCCCACTAGAACAATATATATAGTGTAACCCCCACAATCCAGATACCTAATCCAAAAACCCCCAAACAGAGAGGAGGATTTGGCAACAGAAGAGATCAAACAAATCTGGAAGAGAAGCAGGAGTCCTGAAAACAATAAATAATTATGATGCTGTTGTTCAAAAATAATTCACAACTCATGGATTAGTTATGGCTTCTCCACTACAGTATGATTTCATATATTACCCTTGTATATAATATTGCACCTTCTATGGCTGCCCTGCTACACCACTCCTTCAAGAGTGGTGACTGTTAGGCAGTCAGATACAGTGGTACCTTGACTTACAATTGGCAAGACTTACGATAATTTTGAATTACGATGTAAATTTGATCGAAAAATGCGATTCGACTTACGATAGTGTCGTCGACTAACAATATTTGTTGGTACATATTTGGATCGACCGAGTGCATGGTTCCCGGTCACACGAGCTGACCTGCCTCAGTTTACTATAGCTGCCCGCTTAGTGACGATCACGCCTATAAGAAATTCAATTTTTGTGGTGTTTTTTTTGCGTTTTGAACATAAAACTGATTAATATATATCAAGCCGTGGGTCCCAAGAAAGTCAGTGGTAAGGTTCAACCTAAGAAAATAGTTGTGAGTAGAGGATGTTCCTTCCTCGTTAAGAAAATGTGTGAAGTATGGAAAGAACTGGAAAGTTTTGTTGAAAAGACTCACACAGATAAAGCTGTAGCAGGCCACTGCATTGACCTTTAAATGACAATGTGATGTCTTACTACAGACAAGTGTTAAAATGTAGGGAGAAACAAGTGTCTTTAGACAGATTCTTAGTAAGGCAACCAAGCAAAGAGCCACAAGCAGGTCCTAGTGGCATGCAGGCAAAACGTGCCAGAGAGTGTATCCCAGAAAAGTCATCACTGCCTGATGTTATAATGGAAGGGGATAAAGGTAAGATAAACATATGTACTGTATTGTAGTTAGAGAAAAAAATTGTATTCAGTATAAAATGTATTTGTAAGTTAATATTTTGGAGGGTGGGGAACGGATTAATTCAATTCCCTTTATTTCTTATGGAAAAAATCGCTTCGACTTACGATATTTTGACTTATGATACGTCTCTGGGAAAGGATTACCATCGTAAATCGAGGCCCCACTATAATTAATATAGGGTACTATACAAGACCACTCATATTGAATTATTCATTGTTCAGTGAATAATAATAATCCCTACATTAAGAACCTTGTAATTTATCTTTTAATTTTGTTCTCTTATTGTTCACTTATAAATGTGGGGATTTAATATGAACACAGGCACTAGCTCGATTATGTGTACACTTACAACTGCTATATAATTAGCAATGACTAAAATATTATCAGATACTAGAAGCACATAATTATCCCTCAATATAATTAATTCTCATACTGTATACACTTCATGGTAGGCTGGTAACCAATCGAAAACCCTGATAATTACTGTACTTCTTTTCCTTGACTTTACTAAACGTTGTCAACATTAGTAATAATGTAACACATTCTATGAAGTGAACACCTATTATAATTTGCACTCATTTAGCAAACTGATTCTGCAACTAATTGCTTATGTACTGTATATACAGTAATCACTAGCCATCTTTATTATTTTAATAAGCACATTACTATGTTTTCAATGTTGAATGCAATGAAATGCTTATTTCTGGACTGTCCTTCAGTTTTTCCCCTAACTGCCCACCTGTGTAGCTGACAAGCTTCAATATTTCACACACACCTACCAGAGACCAGGACCTGAATTGTTCCCCCCTCAATGGCAGTGCAGGAGTCTGGAGATTTAGGATCAACCACAGTCCCAAGAGAAAACCATTAGAAAGGTAAAGCTCTCTGAAACAGACAACAGCATGGTAACAATGACAACACTGACCCAAACTATGTAAACAATCATTACCCCAAGTTAAACCACTGGTCTACTGCTCAATAATAATTTGCCTGGTTTGACTCAGGTTTTATTTCTTTATTTAACCCTTTAACTGCGCAACGCGCCTGCAGGCCCAGGCTTTGGGAGCGCAACGCGCCTCCGGGTGTTCTTATTTTTCATGTTCCATTCAAAACTCCCGCGGCTACATGGGATTCACATCAGCTTCCTCAGGGCTCTTGTAAACAGACACCATCTTTAAAAAACCAGCGTTGAATGTAATGAAACGCCATTTTCTGGGTGAGTCCTGGAGGCTCCCCGGAGCTATCCCAGGCTGATATGCTAATGTCACACTTTGGCATCAGTCATGTGTATGGAGTTCTTAGGCCTACCGGGGACCACGGCCAGAACCGGGCCCCCTCAGAGAGGCAAGGGGAGCAATGGCCTATACAAGCCCCTGTGTTGTTGGAAACATTCTATGTCTGCCATCGACTGGAACAGGCACCCAGAAAGGTAAGTGCCTCAAAACAAACCCCTATTCTGGTTAAAATTGCTACCAAAAACCGAACTAGTGGATAGAACTCCCCAACCGAAAACAAGCAAACTAGTGTGACGTCACACACCGCCGCGCCACTGTCTGCGCAGCTCCCCCCTCCCCAGGAGGGGGAAGGGGGAGCCCCAGACCCCCTGCGCTGGCTACCCACACCTCAGTTCTTGAGGCTGGATGTCAAAGACGCGAAAAACCGCCGACCGGAGGGAGGGAGGGATGCCGGGGAGCCTCCGGAACTCACCCAGAAAATGGCGTTTCATTACATTCAACGCTGGTTTTCTGGGGGGAGCCCCGTCGGCTCCCCGGAGCTAACTACCCACAGACAGAAAAAAGAGGGACTTACCCGGGAGGCGGTCGTCGCTCACTCCTCAACTCGAAGCCGAGACAACTGGCTGCAACCGCCGACCTAAAGCAACACAGGCCCGACGAGGCCCAGGGACATTCACAAGGTAACGAGCAGCCAGGACCCTGTTCGACCGCCAAAATCCCCGCGCCCGAATATCAGACCAAGACATATTCCCAAAGACGGCAGCAAGAGCCACGAACTTACGAACGTCATGGGCACGGGGATAGACCGCAGGCTGGCTGGACTTAATAACCCTGCAGACGACCTGAGAGACCCGAACCCGCGAACAGGGAAGAAGGGAAACCGGATCAACCCACAGCGCGTCCCCGGACACAGAAGCTGTGGCGCGCAAATAACGGCGAAGCGCCGCAACCGGACACAAAACATGATGCACCCCCGGCCTGACCAACCAAGCATCAACCACCCATGGACCCCTCCGGAACGCAGCAGTCTCATTCTTCACCAGAAAAGAAGGAGATGGCTGCAAACGAACAAAACGATCACCACGACCAAAAGAGCAGAAACCCCTGCGCCGGAGGAGAGCATGAAGCTCCCCGACCCGACCCCCAGAGGCTAAAGCCAACAAGAAAAGTGCCTTGGAAAAACAATCCTGGACCGAAGGGGCCACAACAAAACGAGGAGACGAAAGGAAAGCGAGCACTCTGTCCAAAGACCAGGACGGCTCAGGCGACGCATGAGCAGGCCGGAGGTGAAACAATGCACGAGACAGCTTGCGAAACGGCGCAGACGTAACATCGATACGCGAAAGCAAGCTGAAGCGGCTCCGCCAGCGCCGCACGATACGAAGCGACAGTGTTAGGCATAAGATGACGGTCCTGAAACAACCAAGAGAGGAAGGACAAGACCACCCGAACAGACAAGGAACTAACACGACGAAGACGCAAAAAGAAACGGAAGGACCGCCAGGAAACTTCATACTGCCGCCGAGAAGAAGCCCTCAGGTGGGACACCAACAAGGAGGCCACCTGATCACCATAGAGACGATGATAGACTCGAGTCAAAAAAACCATACGCGAAGACTCGAGGAGAAGATCGAACCAGCCACGTGACGTACCGGCCCGATCTGCTGAAAGAGGCGGAGCCGCGGGAAAACCCTCGGGTTCGGACACCGAGCAACCAGCGCCTGAAACCAAGGCTGGGCCGGCCACCAAGGGGCCAGAAGGACAACTCTCCCCTGGTAAGTCTCTAAGTGAGTCAGGACCTGGAGCAACAGCCGAACCGGGGGAAAGAGGTACAGGAACCCCCACCTCGACCAGTCTAGCCAAAAGGCATCGACTCCGACGGCCTCGCGATCGGGGAAGGGCGCCGCATAAACGGGAAGACGCCGTGACCACGCCGACGCGAAGAGGTCCACTTCAGGGCACCCGAACGTCTGGCAAAGCCAACGGAAGGACTCGTCGTCGACCGTCCACTCCGTGGAGAGGGGAACGAAGCGAGACAGGGCGTCAGCCAAGACATTGGACACGTCCCGTACGTGAACCGCCAGGAGAGTCAAACCCCGAGAACTCAGCAGACAAGTCACCCGAAGCGACCAACCCCAAAGAGACAAGGACCGCATCGAACCCCCGCGGTTCAGGCAATGAACCACCGGAGAGCAGTCCGAATGGAGCCGAATCGTCGATCCACGGGCCACCCGAATCCTCCCCAGAGCAAACCACACTGCCGCGAACTCCCGCACCGTGCTGTGAGCTCGACAGAAGGACGGATCCCAACGCCCCTGGCCAGCCTGGTGAGCACTGGTCACAAAACCCCAGCCGAGAGACGACGCATCCGTGTACACATCGAGCGAGGGCTCGAGTAGGCGCCAAGGCACTGAACCCCGAAAAACCCGAAGAGGAAGCCGGTGACGCAGCAACCAACGCAAGGCCCCCGGCGGTCGAACTCTGCGATCGCGAGAGAGGCGGAAGGGGGAACCCCGAAGGAACCAGAACAGCCGTTGAAGCCA